CCAACATCAGATGACTCACAATCCAGGGTCTCTGATGCTGCTAGCCTGCATGGGTACCCATACTTGCATGCATGTGATGAAAGTAAAATAAATCTTAAGCTAGGCAGTGGTGTTGCACATCTTTAATCCCAGCACTCTGGATGGGAGGCAGAGGCAGGTAGAAAGAACTCTTGAGTTTGAGGCCAGTTTGGTCTATAGAGTGAGTTCCAGGACAGCCAGGACTACACAGAAAAATCTTGTCTTGAAAAATGAAATAATAATAATTATTAATAATAATATAATACTTTGGCAAAAAATCCTGTAAGCCAAGCACAGTGGCATGAGGCTGATAATTGCAGCACTTGGAAGGCTGAGGCAGAAGATTGAGAACTGAAGCCCAGTCTGGGCTTCCTAGTGAGACCCTATCTTGGAAAAAAAAATGTGGAAATATTTTCATGGGTGTAGACTGTAGACAAGATTATTCCAAAACATATCAGTGTTTGGAGAGACAAACAAGCTAGGATATACCAGGTGGTGGTGCACACCTTGAATCCCAGCACTTGGGAGGTAGAGACAGGCAAATCTCCGTGAGTTCGAGGCCAGCCTGGTCTACAGAGCAAATTCCAGGACAGGCTCCAAAGCTACAGAGAAACCCTGTCTCAAAAAAAAAAAAAAAACAAAACAAAACAAAACAAAAAAAAAAACAAAAAACAAAAATACCAAGATGGAATAGCTAAAAGAACTTTTTTAAGTAAAAAGAGGTAAACAAAAGCAGGAGGGTCAAGAGTTCAAGACAGGTCTAAACTCTAGAGCAAGGCATTGCCTCAGATAAAACTGAGGCCTGGGGATGTAGCACAGTGATAGGGTCCTTCACCTGGTATGACCAAGGCCCTAGGTTCAAGTCCAGCACTGCAAAAAATAGACAAGAGAATGACATGTGAGGAGTCAGTATCCATTTCAAAATTTGAAAGTTGAGGCTAGGTGTGGTGGCACACACCTTTTGTCCCTGCACCTGAGAAGCCAGCCTAGACTACCAGCCTGGCCAAGGCAATACAGCGAGATCCTGTCTCAGAGAATGAACAAACAAAAAAAAAAATTGATACTTGCAGTAACCAAGTAGTAACTTGTAGTCACTGAAAAAGTAGGGAGTCCATAAATAGATGCATGAATACCCAGTTTTGGGGGAGGGTATCACATGCTTCTTTGTTGCTCATGCTGATCCTGAACTTACAAACTCAAGAAATCTTATTTCTTAAGAAACAAGGAGGACTCTAAGAGAGACATACATGAACCCTCAAGAAGGGAAAAGGGACAAAAGAATTAAAATCAGTTTTTTAAAAAGCATTCAAGAGCTTGGCAGTGGTGGCACATGCCCTTAATCCCAGCATTCTGGAAGGCAGAGGCAGGCAGCAAGTTCCAGTACAGCCAGGGATGTTACACAGTGAAACCCTGTCTCAACAAAACAAAAAAAGGCATGCAAGAATGTTTATTAGTAGTACTATTCACAATAGTTGGGGATGGAAGGGGCAGAAACTACTCAGTATTTGTCAACTGATGAATGGATAAGCAAAATGTGACATATGTGTTTAGTGATTCAACTGTAAAACTGGAATACTGATAACTTAATAGCATTGTTCAGCCTTGAAAACACACCATGGAAAAAGCCATTCATTCACAGAGAGGCATTGTAAGATTTCATTGTATGAAATGTCCAGAGTAGCAAATCCGTGGAGACTAGAAGTGGATTGGTGGATGTCAGGATGGAAGTAGTGAAGGCAACAGGGAACCATAGTAAATGGGCATATGGTTTTCTTAGGAGTGATGGAATGTTCTGGACTTAGTGATAATGGTTGGCAGGTAGGCCAGCAAAGTTCATTTCTGTGACCATTTTAAATGGTGGGTGGTTTTTTTTTTTATGGTATGATTTTTTTTTCAGGTAGGTTCTCGATGTTATAGCCCTAGTTGTCTGGAACTTTCTGTATGGACCAGGCTAATCTTGAATTTTTAGCATTCCTCTTGCCTCTTCCCAAGTTCTGGGATAGTCATGAGCTACTGTGCCTGACTAATATTTTATTTAAAAACAAAAACAAAAACAAAAAATACTCAGCCGGGTGTGGTGGCGAATGCCTTTGATCCCAGCACTTAGGAGGCATAGGCAGGCAGATCTCTGTGAGTTCAAGGCCACCCTGGACTACAAAGCTACTCAGAGAAACCCTGTCTCAGAACAAACAAAAATACTCAACAATTTAAAAATAATACGATTAGAAAATGAGACATTTCTGGCTGGAGAGACACTCAGTAGTTAAGAGCACACACTGCTATTGCAGAGGACCCAGCTTCATTCTCCAGCACCTACACAGCAGCTTATAAGTGCTTGTAACTCAAGATCCAGGGTATCTGAGGCCTCTGGCCTCAAGTGCACATGGCCTCAGACACATAATACACATGACTAAGAATAAGTCCTTGCCCTCCCCCCAAAGAAAATGAGACACTTCCTAGAGAAGACATGCTGGTGGTGAATTAAATGCATGAAAAATTGGTCAGTGTTGCCTCAGATGTGCTGTGCATTTGTAATTGTAGTTTGGAAAATATTTTGGTAATTTGTTTTTTTGGCTGAAGGTTAAGACAAGGTGTCAGCCTTGGTCTTGAGCTCGCTGTGTGGCCAAGGCTAGTCTTGAATTCTTGATCCTGCTGCCTCCACTTCTCGTGCTTCGCTTGCAGGTGTATGCTGCCATATCTGGTTTCTTCCCCCCTTTGGCAGTACCAGTGGTAGAGCCCACAGCATCATGCATAGCAAGTAAGTGCTCTATCACAGAGCTACAGCTCTAGTCCCCAGTTTGGCAGTTTCTTAGAAATTTTATACTGTACATCCTATCATTTTTACTTCTAGGCATTTGTTCCAGAAAATGGTCAAAGGAAAATCTAGAAGAGGATAGCAAATGAAGTGCTTAATATGTTAGTAGACTGTGTGTATGATTTTTTTCCCCCCAAACCTCTATATTTGCAGTCCTACTTGGGATGAGTTAAGGTTACGTGCACTTAAACTATAATATTAGTCATCTCTTCCCTCTGCTCACATACTTGTTCCTTTCCTTAACACCTTTTAGCTCATGAGCTCCTTGGGGTACTTGGGCTGGGCTGGTCCTCTCCTCCTAGGCCTCCTGGGCAGTTCTCCTGTGCTAGCAGTGTTTTCTTTACATGGAAAACTCTGATTTGGGCTTCTAATAACGGGATCCTTTGTATATGGTCTTCCCCAAAGGCAGGGGCAGGATTGCTTATGGGGTTTTGTTATTGTTTTCAAAACAGGGTTTCTCTATGTAACTCTGATCGTCCTGGAACTTGCTCTGTAGACCAGGCCTGGAACTCAAGATCCGTCTGTCTCTGTCTCCTGAGTGCTGGGATTAAAGGCTGTGCCACCATGCCCAGCTTGCTTTTTTTTTCTTACATTTTTATGTAATAGGTCTACTTGGGCCTCCAGGGCAAGAATGTCTCTTTAAATACGGGGAAGAAGGGCTGTAGATTTTGATCTGAAGCAACCTGTAACTCTGGGGCAATGTAAGAAAGAAAAACAGGTTATTGGTTCAGGTTGGGTGAATTTTGCTTTGGAATAGCTTTGCATTAAAATTTCTAGTGTGTAGTAGAGATACATAGTGTCTCCTCTTCCTAGGTTCAGGTGAACTGTGTCATGAGTTAAATTTGGACTTTTCCAGATGCTCTGAAGATTAGCAATTAGTGTCATAGCAGTGAGATTGAGAGAATTGGCTACAGAATGGGAGTGAATGCTGGTTTTAGTGCTCACCTCATGTAATTCTAAGTGTAAGAGAGCTGGGCTGCAGAGATGGGTCCCTTTCCTGTGTAGTTGATATGTACACAAGAGAGACCAGGGAAGAGATAAGGGTTAGAAATGGAATTTCCTGAAGGGTTTGACTTTGGAAAACATTTAAAGGAAGAGATTTGGGCAGCTAGTTAAGGTAGCCTGTCTTCAGGGAACCTTTGCTAGTGTGTCTCTGGCAGGTGTACTTTGTGTTGCTTTGCCTTAGGGGTAGCAGGGAGGGTAGAGGGACGGTGGAGCAAGGAGCTGCTCTCTGGGGTCTCTGTATGTGCCCCATTGCTGAACACGTCCTGTCTTTTTTTTTTTTACCTTATTTTTTTATTTTATTTTATGTGCATTGGTATTTTGCCATGGGTGTCAAGTCCCCTGCAACTGGAATTACAGACAGCTGTGAGCTGCCATGTGGGTGCTGGGAATTGAACCCAGTTCCTCTGGAGGAGCAGTCAGTGCTCCTAGCCACTGAGCCATCTCTCCAGCCCCCAGGTCCTGTCTTTTGAGGAAGAGCACTTAAATAGTGGAACTGTTGAGCCCTTTTGCTCCTTGTATCAGCAGCACTCACCTGCTACTTCTGTTCACTCCCTGGTAAAGAGACCTACAGAGACTTCTTGGTATCCCCTTAGAGAGACTCCTGGACTGGAAAACTGCATGTGCACCTTAAATCTAGTACTTCTAGGAAGGTAGAAGGACTGGTGGCCATTCCTGTTGGTTTGTGAGTTAGTTAAGATATGATTCCTTTTGCTTCTGATTTCTGGTCTTGACACTTGATTCATCTCTATAGCCTGGGCTGTCATCAGTGACCTTAATCAAACCAAGACATGTCTAAGCAAGTTCCTGATAGCACAGACCAAGGAAACAGCAACATGGAGCAGAAAATGAATTTAAACTTGAATCCCACTATAGAACTATACAAGAGGAGAATTCTAGATACTTTAGCTTCTGTAAGAACTTCCTACTTTGACTGGTTTATGATTAATAGCAAATAACAGAAATAAACGTAAGTTAGGACAAGAAAAAGAATTTATTGGAAGGTAATGGGGTGATGGCTTATAGACTGTGGGGGAAAAGTTGATGAGCCAGTCTTCAGAAAGGACTGGAGCCAAAACAGCCTGGGGATCTTGGGAGCAAACCTCTGTGGGGTGAATAAGAACCCCCAGTAATAAATAGCCGGTTCTTCCTCCGTTCCATTCAGAACAGTGTCCAGGCAGTGAGGCCCGGCTGGTATGGCCTGACTCAAGGAGGTGCACTTGACTGATAACCAGGCCTGTGGACCTAGTGGGAGCCTGTGAGTGCCAACGGGCTGCTGTTACTTTAAAAGAAGACAGCTGACAGACAGCAGGCAGAACAGCAGGATTCGTCTGCCCTCAGTTCCTAAGAACAACTGTGGGACCAAGAACAGAGGCTGCAACCTAACACTACCGTCTTTGAGTAAGTGTGGTTTGGTGACTGCTATTTCAAGGTCTTAAGCTTTTTGGTGCTGAGGACAGATCACACTGAACAGTCTTTATTAGTAATCACTGTTTGTTCAGGAATGTGTTTGGGGGTTGTACATTTTTTTGCCAAGATTTTTCTAGGGATTTCTCAGTCTGGTCTGTGCACAGAAGAGGACGGGGAGGGTGTTCAAAGCATCCATTTGGCAGAGCAGCTGAAGGTTATATTTGCTATATAGGTATGCTTGCTTATGCCCTCTGGGGAGTAGTCTTTTACAAATGCCTAATAGGGGGTTGGGATGTGTGTAGCTCAGTTGTAGAGCATTTGCTGAGCATTTGTGAGGCCCTGGGTTTGTTAACATCTTCAAAAGCAAAAGTTCTAATAAGGAAACAGGTTGAGGATTGATAACTAGAGCTAGAAGGGAAGGTCTCTGGCTTGTTTGGTTAGATTGGTGAAGTGATTCAGGGTTTAGAGCAAAGGACCTTGCACAGCCCTGTTGTTTATGACTGATCTGTGATGCTGGGCAGTCAATAGCCAGAAAAATCCACTTGAAACAGCTACTTCAAATTCATTGTCTCATGCCAGTGAAAATTTAAGAGGTGGGGATCTGCAAAATAGAAACAAGCTTTATAAGCAATTACAGGAAAGTAAAAAGTTGAGGATATGTGAGAAATTAAGCAAAAGCAATAGAAACTTCTGAAAGAGAGAAGGGTTTTCAAGAGAGGAAGAAACCACAGGATTTTTTAGTTTAGAGGTTTTGTAGGGTTATGGCAAAGCTAGATGAAAGACCAAGGTAACTGTTGTGAGATTGGTTGGGTCTCAGGACTGTATTATGGGTGGAGCCAGTGAAGGCCCACAGGATCTATGCATGTCCCCGTGGCCCAAGCAGGGAGGTACACTGTCATGCACTGTTCATGTGCACTCTTAGGAGTGGCTGGAGCCCCCTCTATCCATTTCCAGGTTTGTTAATTATTCACCTTGACTGTCTACTTGCTGCTAGTCACTTGGCCCGTGTAGCCACCCTCCACCCTTGCAGGTGTGTAAGTGCTGTTAATTGTACTAGACTGTGTTTTCACATTTAGACGATCAGCTTTACCATGGTAGTGTTGCCTGTATCACAGCCACTATTTGCAGCCCTGTGTTTAGCTCCCTGACTATGGGGTGCTCTGAAGTGATCTTCCAGGCAGGAGTTTCTTGTTAGGAGCCGTCCTTACAGTTTAGTCTATTATGATTAGCTGCATTAGAAGCAAGACTGTGTGAAAGGATGATGGCGTCTTACATATGTTTCTCAATTGCTTCTGCGGGTGGGGGTGGAGAGCTGGCCAGGAACCCCATCTTTCCTCTTATCTGACTAGCTTGGTTATCTCATACCCAACTATAAAGCCCACTTACTCAACTTCCTGTGTTCCAGGCCTTGCTATGCTAACCCTTAATCTTCTTTTAAACCCTAGCCTCTCTTCTCACTGCAAAATAAATTAGCAACTTTCAGTTTTACCTTGGGTTCTCTTCTCTTAGTACCTACAGCTAGCTCTTGTATCAAGAGAGCAGCTTATACACCTTGCTGCAGTGGTGCATGCCTTTAATCCCAGTCTTTGGAAGGCAGAGACAGGCGGATCTCTGTGAGTTTGAGGCCAGCCTGGTCTACAGAGCTAGTTCCAGGACAGCCAGGGCTGTTACACAGAGAAACCCTGTCTCAAAAAACCAGAGTGGGGGAGGAGGGGGGAAGAGAAAAGGGGGGAAAGAGACTTACAGTCACTTACAAAGCTACCAAGGTTGGGCATGTGCCTACATTGAGACCCAACAGATCCTGAAACCAGTCCCTAACCATATAACTGCCACGTCCCTTTGGCAGTCCTGGTGTACAGAACCAAGTACTTAATATTTTATTTTATTGTATGTGCATTGGTGTTTTACCTGAATGCGCGTCTGTATGAGGGTGCTGGATCCTCTGGAACAGGAGTTACAGACAATTGTGAGCTGCTGTATGGGTCCTGGGAATTGAACCCCTAGGTCCTCAGGAAGAGTAGCCAGTGCTGTTAACCCCTGAGCCATCTCTCCAGCTCCCTAATACTTAATGTTAATTTGCTTTTCTCCCTTCTGGTTAGGTACCTGCAGATGATGTCCATTGTCATTGGTATCCAACATCTTCCGGCCTGATCCATGGTCACTTTCCGGGATGGCAACAAGGTGACTTAGCTGAGGATGACCCTGACTGAAAGGCTGCGTGAGAAGATATCTCAGGCCTTCTACAACCATGGGCTGCTCTGTGCATCCTACCCTATCCCCATCATCCTCTTCACAGGGCTCTGCATCTTAGCCTGCTGGTATGTTTCTCATTTGCCCCCATGTGGTAGGGCAGTGCTGTGTGGATAGACTTCACTAAATACGGTGATGGAGCTCTTGGTCATTGCACATTCTCACATCGTGGGGACTTAATAAGGGTACTCATTGGAGCTGCGTACTGGAGAGTCTGGGAGAAATTTGTAAAAGCTAATAAAAAAAAAAGGAAACTAGTGCTTGCTGGTATGACAAAGTGATACACCGGATTTGTTCACAACACCAGTGGTGGTTTTCTCCTTTTAAGAAACTTCAAGGCATAATTTTCCATTAGTGCTAGTTAATAACAAGAGCCTCAAGTGCTGCCAGGTGGAGTGCATTTGAACAGCTCGCTGGGTACTGTGTAGGCTGACTCCAGAGACTGACTTCTCTGTACGCTTGCCATTTCTCATGTTCTTATGGAGCCTTCTTCTGACCCTTGGGGCCTGATGTATTGGCAGGGTCTGAAGTAAAAGCCATGGATGCTTGTGTTTATTGCCTGTTTTTCACAGACGTTGTAGAAGCCTGAAGACTGACTGATTATGACTTTGTAAAATGAGCGACTTGATATACAGTCCCGCAGAGATCCACCTGCCTCTGCCTCCCAAGTGCTGGGATCAAAGGCTTGCACCACCACTGCCTGGCTTTTCCATAGCTTCTTAAGCAGCTTCCCTGTTTATATGGCAAACTAACTGGGTATCTTTAAAAATTGTTCCCCACATTTTTATTTATTCATTTTGTATGCTTGTGGGGAAGTAAAGAGCAAACTTTCTGCCCACTCTGTGGGTCTGATAGCTGGAATGCAAGTCCATATTGTCCATCTCAGCAGCTCTAACTGAGTGTTTTTTTTGGCATACTAGTTAATGCATTTGCTATGAATAGCACACAGGCTAGTACCATTAAAAGGCTAACCAGATGACTCTGGAAGCCCAGATCTGTTGAAGTCCTAAACAATTTCTTACACTTGATACTGTAAGGGAACCTGAGAGTCAGAGGTCAGTGGACTAATTTTACAGAGTGGCACTGTGTCAGGCCTGTAGGAGTACAGGGTCTTCACCCTTACAGTTCAGGGTGTACACTTGGGCATGGCTTTTGTGGTTATTGTTTCCGGGGTGCTTTAGCATGTAGGGATTTGGAGACAGGCAGCTTTGTTTGAGCCATGGTATAGAAATGTCCTTACTTATTTTCCTTTTCTTCCGACAGGAGCTCATTGAGTTCTTGGACCTAGCCATACAAATCTCATTTTCTATTCTGGGAAGTTGTTCAGTTGGAACAACTCCCTTTCTGTCAGAGCCTTGAGTTGCCTGGAGAAAACAAAGCATGGGCAGCAGCCAGCTTTTAATAATTGTGTTAGATATTCAGGGTTCATTTAATTGTTGTTTTTTATTCCTTAGATGAGACTTGTCGAGCATAGACCTAAAGGACCCCTGCACTTAATACTCTTCCTCAGACCCAGTGGTTTTCTGAGCTATAGCAATACAGCTGTGTTTACCTAGTTCATCACCAAGTACTCTCCAAAAAGGAACAGAGCTGGACTAGAGTGGGCAGTGACTCCTGGTGGCTCGGGAATGTGTCTTTCTCCATCAGGCTGAAGAGTCACAGACTGAGAGGTTGTGTGTGTATGTGAGTCAGATGCCCTCAGACAGCACCAGGGGTGAGATTTTCTTCTTTAAGCTGGCGCTGAGGCTCTTTGGTCAGTGACTGAGATCTGAGGATACTCCTTCCTGTAGCCTGAGCACTGAGCCTTGTATGTGGGCTTTGGTAAATTCTCTCCTGTCTGGCTCCTAAGTGCAGTAACTGTTTATTCCCCTCCTGGGAAAATCTGATGAAACCTATAGCAAATAGGCATTGTAGCAAAAGGTGTTTATATTTCCTAGAGATTAGGCTATTGGGACCCAAGGGGCCGCCCAGAAGGTCGTAGGCCTTCCCTGGAAGGGTATGTATATGTGGCACACTGTGAATTGAAGGAAAAGGATATAGGAAGGTAGACTTCAGCTCAGAGAGGAAGTTGGTATCACAGTGAGATTGTACTAAGCTTCCTGAGGATGACGGTTCTGCAGGAGTTTGAGAACAGGCTTGATTCCTTTCCCTCTTGCTTTTGTTTTTGAGACCAAGTTTCTCTGTGTAGTTGAGGCTGGCCACGAACTCACAGAGATTTGCACCACTACTGCCTAGTGTGTTTGCTTTTCTTTTTCGGGAGTGACTGGCACCTTCAGCTGAGGCTGTGTATCTCAGCAGTAGTAGTCTGTATTTCTCCACCTTTTCTGTCTCCACCTCAGGTTGTCCTATGATTGTCTTTGGGATCACACGGTGAGCTGCGTAACAGCTTGCCTCTGTCTGTGTAGACACATTTATATGTTCTTTTCACAATAAGAAAACAAAAAATCAGAGTAACTTAAGCATGTCTGTGCTTATAGTTGGGTGGGCCAGAATGGCTGAAACCAAAGTCTCAAAGCACTAAAGCCTAGATTCTGGGGCCCCAGTGGTCCGCTCTGCACCAGCTCCATGATACTGGCTGACTGAGCATTCAAAACCAGAGTCTGTTTCGCTCTCACATACAGACCCTGTGAAAATTCCCAAAGCTCGTAGGCAGTCAAAGACTGCTTTATCACCCAAGATTTACTCAAGTAGAAGGCAAACCAGAAGGGGAACCCTTCATCTTTTACTATCCTATTCTCCTAGTCTTGCATTGTTTACCTCTGGGAAGTGGGGAGCAAGTGAATGAGCTGGGTTTGGGGGCACACTTGTAACCCCAGCACTTGGGAGGCAGAGGTAGGTAGATCTCTATGAGTTCAAGGCCAGCCTGCTCTGCATAGCAAGTTCCGGGGCATCCAGGACTGTGCAGTGAGACCTTGTCTTGTAAACAAAAACAAATGACTGGAGAGATGGCTCAGTCTTCTACTTCAGTGATGGATGTACCATCCAGACAGGAGCTAGGCATGGTGGTACATGCCTGTAATCTCAACACGTACGTGGTATAGGTAGGAGGACCAAGAGTTAAAGGGAGCCTCAGCTATGTAGTAAGTTCGAGGCCAATGTAGACTACATGTGACTTACCTCAAAATAAAACCCACCTGAATACAAAAAGCAACAACAAAGTAAGGTAAGTAAGGAAATAGAGGCTCGACACTACTATAAACCAGCTAGACCAATAAGCATAAACGGATCACTTCACCCAACAGCCGTAGAGTACACTTACCACTGAATGCATACACTCCACAGGACAGACCAAGTGTTAGGATACAAAAGGTTGTTAATTTTAGCTGGGTATTGGTGGCACACACCTTTAATCCCAGCACTGGGGAGGCAAGGCCAGGTGGATCAAAGTTCCAGAACAGGCTTCAAAGCTACACAGAGAAACCCTGTCTCAAAAAATGATGGGAAAAAAAATGTCAGTTTTAAAACTTCCAAAAGGTCCCTCTTTTTATCACAGTGTAACAAAACCAAAATAAAATGAGTAACAGAAAGAAACAGGAGAATTCACGAATACATGAAAATTAAAACCAATGAGTCAAAGAAATGAGTTAGAAATACCTTGAGATGATGAAAATAAAAATTGCAGCACACAAAAATACAGTATGCTGTAAGCAGGTCCTTCTTGGGCCTCAGTCATTCCCTCAGGCATTACTGGCCCCAGTGACCTTACACTGGTAGGAACCTACCTAGAACTGAGAGGAAGCAGAATTTGGAAAACCTGTCTCTGGGGACCTCCAGGCAGTGACAGAGCACGCGTTTATCATGCTTCAGACTGGAGGGACACAGCACTGAAACATCCTGACTACTGGGGCTACTTAGGTTCCTGGGACCCAAGGGAGTGGCCCAGAAGAGTTCTGGCACCAAGAGAAACCAACAGATGGACAGACTAATGGGTTAAGGTGCCTCTGGGTGACCCCTGGGTCTAGGATGCCCATTAGATTGGTGACTGGTAGTGGTTGGTGATAGAAATTTAATTAACAGGAAGTTGTCTGGGCAGTCTATAGCATGGAGTGACCTGGCCCTAATTCTTAGCTCTGAATTGTACATTAACCCTCAGGCTTAAGGTCTTCCCTACTTTCCAAGTAAATTTCTTTCTCCCTTGCTTAATACGCTCTCTTGTGCACCTCTGGTCCTTGCACAATGTCTGGCCTTAAATTGATGCTCAAATATTTGTTGAAGGAAGGATCACTGAGAAAAACTACCAGGCAACTGGCTGCCTATTATTGGTGACACAACTGCCAGGAAGCCTTGTTCAGAAAGGAGCCAGAAGCAAACTGCACACTGATTTCTATGCCAAAGAAACTTCACTCTGTGCAGTTAGACAAATCTTTTATTGTAGGATGACAGCTTTAGAGGAAAGCAGATCTTAATTTTCTCAAAGATGCTTTCCTCTTAAAGAAGGCAAAGTCTTTTTGACAGAGGGTTGTGCTATGTAGCCCAAGCTGGCTTGGAAGTCACTAAATGGCCTTCCTACTGCTTCCCAAATACTGGGTTTATAAGAATGTGCTAGCGCCAGGCGGTGGTGGCGCACGCCTTTAATCCCAGCACTCGGGAGGCAGAGACAGGCGGATCACTGTGAGTTCGAGACCAGCCTGGTCTACAGAGTGAGTTCCAGGACAGCCTCCAAAACAATACTGAGAAACCCTGTCTGGAAAAAAAAAAAAAAAAAAGAATGTGCTAGCACACTCCACCCCAAAGATGCTTTCATGCTGTGTTAGTCTCTGGTTCCATTTGAATAGTGTATCTTTTTGAAGCTCACTGTTTGGGTTGGGTTTGGTTGACTTATCGGTGTGACCTTCAGCCAGATACTTGATCATTCTTTGTCTTACCTGTAAATGGAGGGAAGGATGTTGGCGCTTACCTCCTGTGGAGAAGAATTTACATGGCTAATACACTTAAAATGTTTGGGATGATTCCTGGCACAGGGGCTGGAGAGATGGCTCTGCAGTTAGGAGCACTGGATGCCCTTCCAGAGGACCCGCGTTCGGTTCCTCCACCCACATGGCAGCTCACCACCACCTGTAACTCCAGTTCCAGAGGATCCAGTGCCCTCTTTTGGCTTCTGCAAGCACTGTGTTTGTGTGGTGCACAGACATACATGCTGGCAAAACGTGCATATCCATAAAATAAAAATAAATCTTAAAAAAAAAATAGTTCCAGCTGGGCAGTGGTGGCACACACTTTAATCCCAGCACTCGGGAGACAGAGGCAGGCATCCCTGTGAGTTCGAGGCCAGCCTGGTCTACATAGCAAGTTCCAGGACAGCCTCCAAAGCTATAGAGAAACCCTGTCTCGAGAATGTAAGTAAAAATAAAAAATAGTTTCTAGCAGCCAGGCGTTGGTAGCACATGCCTTTAATCCCAGCATTTGGGAGGCAGAGGCAGGAGGATCTCTGTAAGTTCGAGACTAGCCTGGTCTACAAAGTGAGTTCCAGGACAGTCTCCAAAGCTACAGAGAAACCCTGTCTCGAGAAACCAAAAAAAAAAAAAGTTCCTAGCATATATTAAAAATCTTATGTAAGAGCTATGATGATGATGATTTACCTTCTCCCTGGGTTTCTGCTGTCATGGCCTAAAATTAAAAGCAGACCACAAATTACATACATGCAAACTAAACTCAAGAACCACTACCACACAGACTCTCTCTCTCTCTCTCTCTCTCTCTCTCTCTCTCTCTCTCTCTCTCTCTCTCTCTCTCTCTCTCTCTCTCTCTCTGTCTCTCTCTGTCTCTCTCTCTCTGTCTCTCTCTCTCTGTCTCTCTCTCTCTGTGTGTGTCTCTCTCTCTCTGTCTCTCTCTCTCTCTGTCTCTCTCTCTCTGTCTCTGTCTCTCTCTCTCTGTCTCTGTCTCTCTCTCTCTCTCTCTGTCTCTCTCTCTCTCTGTCTCTCTCTCTCTCTCTCTCTCTCTCTCTCTCTGTCTCTCTCTGTCTCTCTCTCTCTCAGCAAGGAGGTTACCTCTAGATTTTTTATTTACGAAATTTTTATTTTATGTGTAGTAGTCTGCATGAGTGTAAGCAATGAAGTACCCCTGGAGTTGGTTACAGATGAATGTGAGCCACCCAGAAGAGTGCTGAGGACTGGACTCAGTTCCTCTGGAAGAGCAGGAAAAAATCTTACTGTTGAGTCAACTCTCCTGCCTCCATAGCTTTATTTTCAGTAGCCTCAACTAGAAACAGCCAAGTGTACCTTGACAGTGAAGTAGACTAATGTACCATAATGCATTTATTCAAGAGTAGTACCTACTTATGATGTCAGGCATTTTGTTGTAGTGCTAGGGGTTGAACATAAGGCCTTAGCCATACCAGGCAGACACTTGATTACTGACTCATATCCCCAGCCCTGATACGTGTCTATAAAAGTGAGAGGCGCTGTGTGCAGCCACTCATAAAGGAGTACATAAATAGGATGATTTATTTTGTCTGATATTCAAAAGTAGGCAAGACAGAGCTGACAAGATGGTCCCATAGGTAAAGAGTGTTTGCTGTTGAGTCTGGTAACTTGAGTCCAGTCCCTGGACTCTGCATGATGGGAGGGTGACAGAACTCCTGCAGGTTGTCCTCCCTCTGGGATGTGCACTCTCCCCCACAGCACATAAGCAAATAAGTAAGTCTAAAAACGTCAATGTGGCAGGTGGGTAGTTGGATGGCAGAGCATATACATAGCAGTAAGAGGCTCAACACCACAAACAAATGAAAGAGCGAACTGAGTTTGTAGTTACTGTGTCTGCAGGTCTTGGGTATGTGTTGACTCAGGCTGTCTTCTGAGGTTCTGGAAATGTCCTTTTTCTTATCGAGGTAGTGAGCTGAGAACTGAGCACTCTGTACATGAAGTGTCCATTACGCTCACCTAAGTTGCTTCCTTTTTGTTTGTTTCCTCATTTTTCAGGATAGTATCTCAGTGTAGGGAGGCCTCAGAATTGCCACTCTTTTGCCTCAGCTCTCTTACATAAATTACTTCAGAATATTAAAAAGATTTTGGACCTGGTGTGATGGTGTACACGCCTTTAAACCCAGCACTTGGAAGACAGAGGCAGGTGGATCTCTGTGAGTTCGAGACCAGCCTGGTCTACAAAGTAAGTTCCAGGACAGTTAGAGCTATTACACAGAGAAACTCTTATCTTTAAAAAAAAAAGGTAAATAAATGAATAATAAAAATTTTAGGTGAGACATGAAACAAAATGCACACCTATTTTATAACTTGCTGACTGAAGCCATTTGATGGATCCATTAACTTAAGTTCAACATGGGCCAGTGTAACCCTCATATGTCCTTCGCAATTCTCATGATCTGTTCTTTTAAAACAGCAGTTTCTCAGTCATCGGAATCAATTCCAGTGGATTTGTATCCTCCCTCCTAGTTTTTTTTTAATTATCTGTATCTGATTGACAGGTTTTAATTTGTTTTTAGTATCTTGTCTAAAATCTCAGAAAACATTTAGCCAGCCTGTTATATTATTAGTTGGGCTTCCTTGTAGGCTTTGTGACTACAATAAGTTTGAAACCTTCTGGTCCAGGTGACTTCTGAATGTCAGCCCCGAAATTGTATGGTAGTAAAATGACGTTCCTACCCAGTTCCAGCAAAGGGCATGCAGTTGGGATTGCAGTGGCTCCTGTGTCACCACCGTCTCACAGCAGACTCCACCTCTCAGAAGTCCTCACTCTTCCTCCTTTCCCTTCTCCCCAGCTACCCTCTGCTGAAGCTCCCCTTGCCTGGAACGGGACCTGTGGAATTCTCGACGCCTGTGAAGGACTACTCACCCCCACCTGTGGACTCTGACCACAAACAAGGAGAAGCCAGTGAGCAGCCAGAGTGGGTAGGTGCTCAGCTACCCACTGAGGAGAGCCCTAGCCGAGAGCTGATTGGTGGAGGCAGACTCTGCAAGTGACAGTAAGAGTGGTCAGCTTCAGATTAGTGAATTCATGTACTCACCTGCTTTAGGAAGGCACTGGAGTGTTTAGTTATACATGTAATGAATAACCTTTATTGAAAGAAAACACTGAATGATGCCAAGAGTGACTGCCCTAAAAAACTAGGATTTTCAGTTGTCCTATCAGTGACCAGCTGAACCTGGTTTATACCTGGCCTAGTCACACACCGTGTGCAGGGACCAGAGAAGCATTTCCTCCTTGACCCCAGGTAGTCATGAGAACAGCGGAGCATCCCCAGGGTGTTCTTTCATCAGAGAGACTGCAGAGCACACCTAGTTTTCTCAGACCAGTTAGGCTGATTTTATCTTCATAATCCAGTCAGGTGCTTTAAAAAGTCCAGGTTCTATTTATTTTTTAAACAGGAAGGAAAGTTGGGAACCAAAGTAAGTAGGTGCCTCAGGTACTTAATTGATGAGGGTCAACACAGGACTAGAACTTGTTCTCCCAGTCCTAGCCGACTGGACTGCTGTCATTTGATGAGTTCTGGCCTGAGCACTGAATGAGAAAAAAAAGTCTCTCCAGTTGAAGGGCTCGGACTTGGCACCCCACTCACTGATTTCTACACTTGCTAATCGAAGCTCACAGGCTTGACCAGCTCATCCCTGGATATCTTGCTCACCATGGGAGGACATGGTGGTCTTTACCTGTGTGTCCTTCTTGTGTTGTGCTTTGATTCCATAGGTTGGTGCTGGGCTTGCTGAATTTTGGGGAAGAGTAAGACTTGGCAGAGTTCCTCTTCTCCACCTCTTGACAGTACAGCGCCTTCTCTCCGTTTCCTTTCTGGTTAATGCCTGCTAACTAGTTAGGAGTTTGACTCTTCTGTTGCTTAACTAGGACACCCTGGTAAGAGAGGCGTGTTAGTTACACATTTCCTCAATGAGAAATGTGCTTCTGTGCTCACCGGGGCTGTGTCTGTGTGTCAAGAGGACACACGGTCTAAGACCATCTAGTTCTGGGCTAGAGAGATAGCTCAGTGGTCAAAGAGTTCCTAGCAGGTTTGGTTCCTAGATGCACATGAGGTGGCTTACAGCCATTCGTAACTCTAGTTCCATGGGATCTGATGCTTTCTGGCCTCTGAGGCAACCTTCTTCACACATGATACACATAAACTCATGCAGGCACACATACATACATAGAAAAGGTTTTTGAAGCCAGGTGGTGGTGGCGCACACCTTTAATCCCAGTACTCAAGACGCAGAGGCAGGAGGATCTCTGTGAGTTCAAGGCCAACCTGGTCTACAGAGAGAGTTCCAGGACAGGCTCCAAAGCAATACAGAGAAACCCTGTCTTTAAAAACAAACAAACAAAAAAGTTGGCTTTTTCTTTTGTTTTTTTTTATTAATATTTTTTTTATTTTCCATTTTAAATTTAGATAAGAAACAAGGTTGCTTCACAAGTCAGTATGAGGTCCCTCTCCCTTTCCCTCCCCTCCTCCCGTGCCCTCCCCCATCCCCCCCCCCCGTTATCCCCTCATTCCCCTAGGGAGGGTGAGGCCCTCCATGGGGGTGTCCATAGTCTGTCATTTCATATAGGGCAGGGCCTAGACCCTTCCCCAAGAGTTCAGGGTGAGAGTGCACCTCACATTGTTCTATGGGAGTCCAGAGACCGTGTGTATACTTGGGATGGGTACTGATCTGCTGTCCAAGGCTCAATAGATTACCTAGGCCTCCTCATTGATACCCAGATTCAGGGGGTCTTGATCAGTCCCATGCTGGATTCCCAGGCTGATGCCTGGGATTCAAGAGTTAACCTTTGTCTGGTCAGCTGTTTCTGGGGGTTCAACCAGCCCAGTCTTAATCCCTTTGATCATCAGTCCTCCCTCTCTGATACTGGCTTTCTTGAGTTCAGCTCAGTACTTAACCAGCCAGTAAATAAAGTTTCTGTTTCCCAGACTCTCTGGCCATAGGATTGTGGGTTTTCTTTTGTTTTTTAAAAGAAACCGTTTTGTGTTCTATGTCCCAGGTTGATGGGATCTTCTTGATGCAAATATTTTACCATCATCAACTGCTTAATATAGTTCTACTATATTGACCTGATGATACCTAGGTCCCAACAGAGTAGTATAATGATAATCGAGGCTATATAGGGAAAAACAATATATTTATTTATCAGGGAGAGAGAGAGTCGCACATACCAGGAGTTAGAAGCTTGGCTGGCTTCCAGGAGAAAAAAGAGGAGGCCCTTTTTCCTTTCACTACCTTTTATCTCTACCTTGACCCCGCCCTGTTGGGCGGGTAGCTTTGTGGGGTTCACTCCTACAGAGTAGTTTTGGTTTATGGATATTTCTTGACTAATAGAATTCAGTGGGCCTGTTTGCACAGGATAGATGTATTTGTGGGCTTCCATTAGTACATTTCATTGGCCTTGGGCGGTGACAGTGAATAGGTGTGCAGAGCAGTTTTAAGGTCTAAACAGTCAGAGAATTATACAGTTCTTTCTGTTACAACCTCTATCCCCGAGTGATGGCGGAGACTCAAGGCTTGGTGCTGTAGCCACATATCATGTAACTCAGTGATGAGTTATTACACTCACATTGGCTATGTGTGATAAGAAGAGAAGCCCACAATAGATGGTGAGAACCATTTCAGTTATAAAGAACAGAAAACCCAACGTAAATCAGAGTAAGTGGAAAAGAAAGACTTCACATAACTCATAGGCAGGGCCAGAAATGCCTTCTACACTACATGACCAGGTCCTCAGGAACCTATCTCTAGATCTGTGGACCAGCTTCCTCTCCATCTCCCCAACAGTGGCTGGAGGAGCTTTAGCCCTGCACCTGTGTTGCAGCAAATCTAGTGCGTGATAAGTTCACTCCCAGACCCTGTCTCCAGGGCACAAGTTATGGCTTCTGGAGAAAACAATGAAGGTTTGGGCACTGGGAGGGATGCAGCAGCCACCACCCACCCACACCAGAGAAACTACAGCTTTTGTATTCCTTCCTTACTTCCTTACTTCCTTACTTCCTTCCTTCTGCTGTTGTTGCTTTTGGGGTAAACCAGGATGCGATGGGGACAGCTCAAGGTGTTACCCTGATTGTGGAGATAGGACAAAGTTTTTTAAAGTTTGAAGTATATGTTGAAATGACATGGTGGAGGTGGGACTCTGGAGGTTGGCTCAGTAGCTAAGGGTGCTTATTGTTCTTAAAGAGGACCAAAGCCGGGCGTTGGTAGCGCACGCCTTTAATCCCAGCACTCAGGAGGCAGAGGCAGGCGGATCTCTGTGAGTTTGAGGCCATCCTGGTCTACAAAGCGAGTTCCAGGAAAGCCTCCAAAACAATACAGAGAAACCCTGCCTCGAAAAACCAAAAAAGAAAAAAAGAGGACCGAAGTTCTGTTCCAACACCCATAGGCAGTGCACAGCCATACCCAACTCCAGTCCCAGGAGATCAACACCCTCAGCCTCTGAAGGCACCTTCCTTTCACATACCCGGAGCACATAAACTCAGGCAGTGCGCGCGCGCGCACACACACACACACACACACACACACACACACATGCACGCACGCACACACACTAGGAGCTTTCAATAGTTAGTGCTGGAGCAGTTTGTATAATATAGTTAAGGAGTATTGAATTATATGCACGTGTTTGTATACTGCAAGTAAATGGTAAATACCTGTAAGTCCTGAATCTATTTGATTAACTGATTACATAAATAAATAGGGACAATAGGCAAATCCTTGTGCAGAAAAATTCTGGATAATTTATGTAGATAGCTTACTTTCAGGAAGTTAGCAGGTAATTTCCTTCTCTTTTTTATTTGTTTTGTTTCTTGAAACAGGGTTTAATGTTGCCTAGACTGGATACAGGTATGTTTTTTTTTTGTTTTGTTTTGTTTTTTACGAGACAGGGTTTCTCTGTATTGTTTTTGGAGGCTGTCGGTCCAGCCCGGCCTCAAACTCACAGAGATCCGACTGCCTCTGCCTCCCGAGTGCTGGGATTCAAGGCGTGTGCTACCACCACCTGGCCCAGGTGTGTTTTACAATACCCAACTTCTCTGCTAGAAGTTTCTAGAGACATCCTTCTACAGAGTAGGCAGGGAGGAGTATGTGCAGTGGAGAACTTGACGGGCAAGTCCTCAAGAAAGAGGCAGAGGTTGATGAGAGCCACAAGTACCGCTAGAGCCTTCCTCCCAGGTGGACGGCTCTAGTCTACTGAGTACAGCATCAAGCAGTCCCAATTGAGGGACACCCACAAAACACCTGATCAGCACTCCACAAAACAAAGTCTGAGAAACTGTCACAAGCTAAGAGAAGCCCTTGGTGGCATGGCATGGTCCATGTTTTCAGAAGTTTCAGTTCAAGTTTAGGTGGCTCTGTTGCTTTGGGTCTGAGATGAGGCAGAATGTCATGGAGGAAGCAGAGTGGTGGAGGGGCCTATTCATCTCATGTGACAGGAAGCAGAGAAAGAAGTAGAGAAGCGGGAGCGTGTGCATGCGTGCGTGCATGTCTGTCTGTCTGTCTGTCTGTCTGTGTCTGTCTGTGTCCCCAGAAAAAGATGTCAGATCTCCCAGAGCTAGAGTTATAGGAATTTGTGAGCTTCCCAGCATGGGTGTTGGGAACTGAACTCCAGTCTTCTGGAAGAGCAGTATGTATGTGCTTATAACCACTAAGCCATCTCTCCAGTCCCTACAGGGTCTGTCTAATTATCCTTGCCAGGTTCTTGGTCTGAGTTCAGCCCACTCTGTATTAGACTTGTGTGACCTATGGCTTTGTGGGATTGGCAAGGGGCAGTTCCTTCTGGGCAGAGGTCTGTGGTTACAGAGAAAGAAAAACAAAGCAGAAACAGTAGATACTTTCATTTCCCAGTGCATGGCCTTGGGCAAATGGTTTTTGTGCCTTCGTTACCATATTCATAAAACAAGGGTGATAATTATACCTGTGTT